GAAGAAGTGAGGTTTTTACCCACGAAAGCTTATGCCCAAATAAATCTGTTAGTCTTTAAGGTGCCACCAGACTCCTTGTTGTTATTGAAAGGGTTGTGATTTACTGAATGTGATTATCCTACTTGTATGCATGTATCATTTTTGTATCTGAAGTTAGGAATATTGGCTATATCTCTGTATTACAAATATGTTTACACCTGGGGAATGCCAGGAAAGATGTAATCAGTCTCGATAGCTGGCTGGGAAGGGCCATTAGGGAGAACAGTAGCTGATTGCTCACTGGGGAACCTTCCTGAGGACACTAAACAGCCTCTGACTCATGGCTGCTATGACACTATGGGGTCATGTGACCAAGTCACCTGGTACTGGACTCCATCTTGGAATACCAGTGTTTGTCCACTGCAAGGCGTGGGAACTAAAGTTGGAGACAAAGGATTCCTGCCACATTCAAAAGCTATTCAAGGCAGGGGAGTGACATCATTGTGGCTCTTCTCTGACTCCCCGCCCAAGGAGACTGCTGGAAACACCGGAGGAACAGAGCCTGGACTAGCGGAGAAGGGCTGAACCCAGGCTAGAGGGATTTCTAGCCTATGAAAGGAATACCTGGGATTTGAAGCTGCAAGCAAGTACAGCTTGCCCTCACGAATCTCTGCAAACTGCCTAAATCAACAGTTAGGGTGAGAATTTGCTACTCAGATACAATCTCTTTAGTATATTAAGCTTAGATTGTGTGTTTGTTTTATTTGCTAGGTAATCTGCTTTGATCTGTTTGCTATCCCTCATAATCACTTAAAATCTCTCTTTTGTAGTTAATAAATTTATTTTTGCTTTGTCTAAAATCAGTGTGTGGAAATTATAACTTGAGGCAGAAAGCTGCTGCAGATCTCCCTCCACATTGAGGGAGGGGGGATTTCATGAGTTTATGCTGTACAGTTCTCTGAGCAACGCAAGACAGTATAATTTTGGGTTTACCCTCCAAAGGGGGGTGTGCACTTGAGTAACTGGGCAGTTCCTTAGCTGAGCCTTCCCATGCAGAGCTGATCTCAGCAGCTGTGTGTAGCTGAAGCGGGGTGTGTCTCTACCTGTATGTGTGCTGGAGGGGGCTTGAGAGCCTGTCACACCAGTACAGTGTAAAGGGAGCCCAGGCTGGGGGGTCAGGCTGGCTCAGTGGTACCCCAGTTGCAGGTGGCACCCGGGGGGAACCTGTCACATCCTTCTCCCGCATGCCCTGGACTGACTGGTGCAGACTCTAGGGCACAGGATATAGCTCTGATGACTGACACCTGGGGAAGGAGGTGGAGATGGGATGGGAGGAGGGAAGTTGGTGGGGTCCCAGCTGGAAAATCTCTTGCTGGGAGCTCATGTTCCTGCTCTGATCTCTGTTCAGATCCCAGCAGAGGGACAGGTCAGTGTCACCTCCGAGAATGACACGTGCTGGGTCCCAGGAGAACTTTGAATTAAACTGTTCCTGCAAAGGTCACTTGGCTTTTAGCTTCGTACCCGCTCTGGGCACATGCCCCATCTGCACTGGCCTCCCTGCTGCTCACCCCTGTCTGCCCCTTTCCCCCAAACCAGGAAACAGTGGGGTGCCTGGAATCTGAAGCAGTTTGGTGAGGGGACGGACCCTGGAGTGCAGAGGGTGGGGGGGATGCCTGTGGCTGGTTTCACACTATTGCAAATCGGAGATT